AGAACTGACCTGCCTGGAACCACCATTTTCCATCCCTGTCCCCAGCCCGGTGAGGTGGGCCCACCCATCCGGCCCTGAGGGACTAGTCACAGCTGTGGCCGGGCCAGGGCCAAAGGGCATGTCCAAAGGGAAATTCCCTCACAGAAAGGGGGCTGTTTCGAGGGTGGGTAAGGGGTGTTCCGCAGTACCAGTGGGCGTGACGTTTCCAGAGGCAAAACCAGACTTTTGGGACAAAGTTCCCCAAGGCTTACGCCGCTGCAGGGAACAGAAGGCTGCCCCACAGCACTCCCGCTGCAGGGAGGGAGCTGGATGGAATCCTGTGCACGAGGCAGAGGCTCCGAGGGCAGCAACTCAGGGTACCAAAAGCCCATGTCAACGGGATTGAACACTGAGCCTGGAACTTTCCGGCCAGAAGTACTCAGAACTACGGCAGGAGTGGGCTCTGCTAGCGAGGGCGCCCACTGCCCAGGCGGCTGCAGCCTACCGCGCTCACTGCAGAGTGGAGGATGGGGAGAAAGCCTACGGAGAAAGCCCACGAGGCATCTCCCTGCTCAGGGGGTTGGAGCTAGACAGGAACTAGGCCAGTGAGAGCTGACTCAGTCTCGCTCTGTCTTTTTGGTCCCAGCCGACCAGAGGCCTGGTGTCTTGGGCTCCTGCCCACCTCCGCCTGCTCCAGACCCCTCCTCCCCTCCTGCTGAGGCCGTTTCCTGTGGCTGCGACTCTTGTTCAGCCATGAGCTCACCGCCCCTAATGGGTTGCAGCTGCTTCGCTGCTCAAGCTGTAGCGCCCCGGATCCTAACTTCGGAGCCGAGGCCCACTCAACCTCACCCCTACCCTTTTTCCCACCCACGTACTCAGTCCCGGCAACACTGAGGGGTCTGTCTGCTCGCCCACACCTTGGGGCCGAGTCTGCGCGCTGATAACACAGAATGCTGGTCTCTGGGGTGACTGAATACCCTAATCTTCTCAAACAGCCGCGATTAAGCAACTCTGGCTGGAGAGATTTAGGAGTAAAATAAGCAATTTTTGTCTTGGGGTGAAACCAGGACTGTTTGCAATGGGTAGAGAGCTCGGTAAATATTGCAGAGTTCCCCTTTCCTCATTTACAACAAAGACCTCTGATAAAAGGAACTAAAAAAAAAAATCTTGAAAGACTTGCAAAGAAATAGACCCAAGGAATTTTGTTTAGGGAATAAGGTAAAGAAAGATAGCCCAATGATTCACTTAGAGAAGTGTGTCAGAATGGGACATGGCTTAGTCTTTGAGACAAGGGTCCCAGTAAAATTAAACTGGAATGCATAGCATCAAGATCTCCTCCTCTCCTCTCCAAGAGTTCCGTTTATGCCTCTATCAAATGGCCCCACCCAATTCATTATAGCCAATCAGACAAGCTCTGTAAATGGAAGAAAGGAATACTACAAAGACCTGAGATAGCCACAGTCTTCCTGTCTTTTTTCTTCTCACCTGTCAATCAACCATCTCTCTCTAGGATGCAGTGTTTTGTGGGTGGGCACATCTCTACTTATGAAAAAGGTATCTGGATGATGAGTTCTGGGAGAATCTATTGGCAAGATGGCTTTGTAGAAACCTCATACCCTATCCCTCTACCAGAATTCTTGACCATCAGCTGGCTCCAGTGGTCCAGTGCAGGAGAACTATGCAGTCACCCCAATTTACAATCGTGATCAGAGTTACACATAACAAATTCCCCCTGGATCTCTAAAGCCAAGGCCTCAGAGCTTAAACGGGAAGCCATGGGAAGCCTGTATGTACCAACTGGCCAGGTCCCCACTCCTATCCTGGGCTCGTTCAGCCAGCATTTTCTGATTACCTGCTGTGCTCATATGATATAGGACATAGCTATCTGCAGAGCAGACAACTCCCAAGGAGCCACACTGTATAATCTCTAGTTATCTATAGCTTGGTATTGTCTCTCCCAGGAGCCTGAACCAGTGGAGGACTGTGTGCAGAGCACACTCGCTGCCTTGTACCCACCCTTTGAAGCCACAGCCCCAACCCTGTTGGGCCAAGTGTTCCAGGTGGTGGAGAGGACTTACCAGGAGGATGCACTGAGGTACACGCTGGACTTCCTGGTACCTGCTAAACACCTGCTTGCCAAGGTCCAGCAGGAAGCCTGTGTGAGTGGCTGTCAACCCTTTTCTGCCAGGCTAATTTCCTCTCACTTAGAGACACAGGCTTCCCAATACTGTTCTCCACAGGAAGCCTTAGGTCTCATTTGCCGACCTCCCCCTGATTGTGATTACTCAAACACTAACACATATGCAGGTGTATGCATTTTCCTTAAATATTGACTCTTAACAAACATTGACTTTCCCCGAAAAGACCCTGACTTTTCCAGAACAAGTTCCAAACATTACTCCCCGTGAATGTCTTACTCCCTCAGACTCAGACATGATTCAGAAAACAGTCTCTGCTTCTGCAGATAGACCAACAGCATCTGGGCAACCTCCTAGGCAATGGCATCTGTTGACCAGGTCGTAAGGACCATGACTGGGTCCTTACCTTCCCACTAGGAAAGCTCCTTCCACCAAAGGATCGATGATTTCCATTCTTGCCTCTGCCATGTGACCTCCTTTCCTGTCCCCTAGGGGTTTTAGCCCCCCAGATGTAAGGCCAGCCCTGCCTAGTGTGGCTTTACTCTCGTAGCGCCTCACCCCCACCCCCTTGCTGGTTTCTTCAGCAGAGGCCTTGAGTATAGCCTCTTACTTCTCTCTCCAGGCCCAGTATAGTGGATTTCTCTTCTTCCACGAGGGCTGGCCACTCTGCTTGCATGAACAGGTAGTAGTGCAGCTAGCAGCACTTCCCTGGCAGCTGCTGCGCCCTGGCGACTTCTACCTGCAGGTAGTACCTTCAGCAGCCCAAGCTCCCCGTCTGGCACTGAAATGTCTCGCCCCAGGAGGTGGGCGGGTACAGGAGCTGCCAGTGCCCAGTGAAGCCTGTGCCTACCTATTCACACCCGAGTGGCTACAAGGCGTTAACAAGGACCGGCCAACGGGGCGCCTGAGCACCTGCCTTCTATCTGCACCTTCTGGAATTCAGCGGCTGCCCTGGGCTGAGCTCATCTGCCCAAGATTTGTGCACAAAGAGGGCCTCATGGTTGGACATCAGCCAAGCACACTGCCCCCAGAACTGCCCTCTGGGCCCCCAGGGCTTCCTAGCTCTCCACTCCCGGAGGAGGTGCTGGGTACCCGGAGTCCTGGGGATGGACACAACGCTCCTGCAGAGGGTCCTGAAGGTGAATACGTGGAACTGTTGGAGGTGACACTGCCTCATATGAGGGGAAGCCCCACAGATGCTGAGGCCTCGGGCCTCTCCAGGACCCGCACAGTCCCTACCCGTAAGAGTACTGGAGGGAAGGGCCGGCACCGGAGACACCGGGCATGGATGCACCAGAAAGGCCTAGGGTCTAGGGACCAGGATGGGTCACGGCCACCTGGTGAAGGGAGTAGCACTGGGGTCTCTTCTGACTCACCCCCAGGGGCTGAGGCAGACCCAGATACAACAGTCCTGGTGGCATCTGAGCCCCCAGCAGAGGCTCTGGGGGAGACCTCTGAATCCTGCCTCCTGTCAGGCGAGGCTGGGGGAGGAGTGGGCCAGGGGACTGAAGGACCACCTGGTACTCCTCGAAGAACAGGCAAAGGGAACAGAAGAAAGAAGCGAGCTGCTAGCAGAGCTGCTGTAAAAGGGGAGAGTACTCCGCTCAGCCCCAGGGACAAGGAAGAGACTAGACAGCAGGAAGTCCTTGTCAGTCTGCCCTCACCCAGTGAACAGGAACCTGCAGAATGCAGCCCGGTTAAGGAGGAAGAGGATTCTGGGAAGCCAGAGTCTGAACTAAAAGAACTCAAGCCAACAGACGAAAAAGAGCCTGTACCCCCAGAAGACTGTGAGCCTCCAGAAGAGGGAATCAGAGAGAGTGAACAAAAGGGATTGATCCCAGTGTCTACAGCAGGTGAGATGACAGTGAGCTCCAGCGACAAGGGCCAGGGCACGCTGGGCCTAGGGAAGGGGACAAGCAGAAGCTGTGGTTTGACTGGGAACAGAGTATAGTAACTCTGCTTCTATCTATCTGCACAGGATCCACAGGTCCAGAGTGGCTTCCATCTGACCCCCCAACACAACCCCTGGAGACTGTGCAGGATGTAAAAGGAGACAGCATCCCAGAAGAAACTCCCGAAGTTTCCATCTTAGACCACCCACTTGTAGCTTGGGACTTGATGGCATCTGGATTCTTCGTTCTGACTGGTCAGTGGGCATCTGAGGATAAAAAGAAAGGGGCTGGGGAGATGACTCAGTAAAGTACCTGCTTTGCAAGCAGGAGAATTGAGTTCAGATCCCCAGCATCCACCTAAGAGCTGGGCCATGGCATGGATCTGTCACCCCAGTGCTGGAAAGAGAGGGGAAGGTTAAGACAAGCAGGTTTCTGGCAGTCATTGGCCAGCCAGTCTAGCTGAGTCAGAGATTTTCCAGGTTCCGAGAGATCCTGTCTTTAAAAAAATAAGGTGGACCCAGGCGATGGTGGTGCATGCCATTAATCCCAGCAGTCAGGAGGCAGAGGCAGGAGTATCTTGTGAGATCAAGTCCTGCCTGGTCTACAGAGTGAGTTCCAGGTCAGCCTCCAAAGCTACGCAGAGAAACACTGTCTCGAAAAAATGATTGACAAAGATCTTACATTGACCTCTGGCCTCTACACACATGTATACATGTGTACTCACACACAAACAAGGACACACACGGTAGCTGGAAAGGGGCTTTGGGAAAGTGGAGCAATCCAAGTGGACTTGGGAAGGAGGAAAGGTGGAGGGGAGGTAGTCAAAGATTGCTCCCAGCCAGGACAGCCTGGCCATTTTCTGTCTTCAGGGGGCATCGATCAGACTGGGAGAGCTTTGCTGACGATCACACCACCGCCTCCATGCCTTCCTGAGGAGCCCTCACCCTCCCAAGAGACACTCAACACTGCTCTTCGTTACCTCTACTCACTGCTCAGGTGAGCATGCCAGACTTCAGCACCCTGGGCGTTAGCTTGTACTCGAGACCTGCTTTCTTTCTCAAGGCACTGGCCTACTACTTCCACCCTCAGATTTTCAAGCCATCGACCTTGACCTTAGCAATTCTGACTCCCAGGTTATCTTCATGATCTTTAAAAATCAACACTGCTGACTCTAGGTACTCCACGATATCACCCAGATTATCAGTGCACAGACTCATTCACCCACAAATACTTTGTGAACACTGAGTATCTATCAGACAAATGCTCAGGCCTTGAACGTATACCATTCTAGCACATAGAGTTCTAGTCCTCTGACCCAATAGCTATGTCAATGTAGGTTCTTGATTGTTAGGTTGCCTACTGGGCACATGTCCCAGACATCGACTGTTTGCTCATTGCTTCCCAAATATAGTAGTACTAATGTCTAAAGACTGTTAGCACTAGGCCAGAAGATCTGTGTTCTTTCTTCCTTGTTCTCTCTTTGCTGTCTCCCCAGTGCCCGTATGTGCAGACACACAGAGATATAAACACACACACACACACACACACACATACACACACACACACACACACAGCTTTGGCTCTTCTTGCCTCCACAGGCCTGATTTGCAGTTATTGGGGCTCACTATCCTGCTTGACCTTCGCAAGGCACCCCCACTGCCTCCAGCACTTATTCCTGCCTTGAGTCAGCTTCAGGTAATCAACTCCTTGAAACAGGCATGTCCCGTAGGCCCCCACTTTTCTCCAGTGGCAGCCATTCCGGGCCATCCAACTGTACAACGTTTAGGGGTTTTCTTCTTTGCGCTTAGGACTCAGGCAACCCTCCGCTTATTCAGAGGCTAATGATTCTCATTCATGAAGAGCCTCCAGCTGAACTCTGTGGATTTCAGGTAGGTTCTCCCACCAGCCCCCTGTCAGTCATGGAAAGGGGAGGGAAAGCTTGCTGTTCTCTCATATTGGTATGAATCACAAGAGGCCTGTGCAGAAAACTCCAACTTTTCATGTGTCTCCAGGGAGCTGAGTTGCTGTCAGAGAAGGACCTAAAAAGAGTGGCCAAGCCAGAGGAGCTGCCATGGGACTTAGGAGGTCACAAGGATGTCTCCCCCAACCACTGGGTAGAGATACATCAGGTAAACTCCTTCAGCTCTTAGGAACCTGGCAACTGGAAATCTAGGAGAAAAGACAAAGACAAACATAACCATGGGGCTGGGAAAGGTACAGTTCCATTCAGTTCAGAAAATAGTTCCGACTCGTGAGCCTTGAACAAATATTGTTAGCCATTGGGAAGATGGGAGGAGTTTGTTAAATTCTTTTTTATTTTTTAGCTTATGTATATGACTGTTTTGCCTGCATATATGTATGTGCTTTGCATACATATATTTTTGGGTACATATGTGCCTGGTCCCAAAAAGTCAGAAGAGGGCATCAGATCCTCTGGAACTGGAATTACAGAAGGTTACAAGCCATCATGGACTGAGAACTGAACCCCAGTTCTTTGCAAGAGCAACAAGTGCTTTTAACCTGTGAACCATCTTTCCAGTTACCACCCGAATTTGTAATATTCTTTTAAAATTTTTTTAAGGTTTTATTTTTAAGCATGTATATATGTCTGTGTGTCTATGTGAATAAATGCCATGTGGGTGGATGTTCTTAGAGGCCGGAGGCATCACAACCCCTGAATCTGGAGTTACAGGCAGTTGTAAGCTACATGTGAGCACTGGTAATCAAACTTGGGTCCTCGAAGAAAAATGCTTACTCTTAACCGCTGAGCCATCTTTCCAGATCCTTGCCCCCTGAGTTTGTCAAATTATTAGTAGGACATTAAGTGATGTGTGCTTTCCAGTGGGAGCCCTTAAGGTATCATGAAAAGGTAGAGAAGGGTTTGTGATAGCTTCGTGGGTTTCTAGAAAATGATGAGAGTTGAGAGGTTGGCTCCATGTGGCCTGGCAAGTTACTTTCCCTCACTTCTGGCGATGGTGCCCTTGCTGGATCTGCTCCCTACACCAGCATCCACAAGCATAGGCTTGTCACTCACCAGATACACCAGTTGTGCATGGTCTCTACAGAGCTTCCATCACTTACATGCTTCTACAAACCTAAGTGTAGTGAGTATTTAGGAATGGAGCAATCAACGTGGTCACAGCTGACTACAAACAGGAGTCCCTAGCGAAAGCAGATAGGGGGAGCTGGAGGTGGGGCTTGGCAAGGATGAAGACCAGAGGCAAGAAGGCAAAGGAAACTCACATACTAAGCTGTACCGTGTGCCACAACCATGCTCAGTGCCAGGCTGATATCATTTCCTTAAATTTTACAAAATCTTCTTTCATCCTAACTTCACTGTTAAATAAAATGAATTTTAGGGTTTGTTGGCTTGTCCGATATTGTATGACTTAGAAGCAACAAAGTCAGAAACTAAGCCACCATTGTTTTCACAAGTCTCCAGACTCCCATCTCCCTCCTGTGGCTGACCTAGCTTGCGCTCTCCCCCCCCCCCCCCCCTCTCCCCCCTCGCTCGCGCGCTCTCTCTCTCTCTCTCTCTCTCTCTCTCTCTCTCTCTCTCTCTCTCTCTCTCTCCCACTTTCAAGGCAGGGTCTCTTTTCATAACCCTGGCTGTCCTGGAACTCACCATGTAGACCAAGTTGGCCTCAAACTCAGAGATTCACTGCCTCTGTCACCCGAGTGCTAGGATTAAAGAAAGCCCACCACCACCACCACCACCACCACCACCACCACGCCAGGCATATTTCTTATCCTAAACCCTGACCCTTTAACTCCATCTCTGTACGTGACTTTCAGGAAGTGGCAAGGCTGTGCAGCTTGTGCCAAGGCGTGTTGACCTCTGTACGTCAGGCCATTGAGGAGCTAGAGGGAGCAGCGGAAGCACAGGAAGAGGTGTGGAATGAGGTGGACTAATGTCAGGTGTGAAAGGGATGGGACTGGGTGGGCACCCTAGTGGAACTCCAGATGTGTTTCCTTGTCCCAAGGAGGCGGCAGGAATGCCTGAGCCCCTGCAAAAGGTGCTGGCTGATCCTCGGCTGACAGCACTACAGAGGACTGGAGGCGCCATCCTGATGCGGCTGCGATCCACCCATAGCAGCAAGTATGAGACGGGTGTGCAGGGGCAAATGAAGGGGAGATAGCGGAGAGCTGTCCTAAACCTTAAGTGACAGATAATTCTTACTCTGTACTTATCTGGGCGAGATACTGTGCCTTTACACTTATAAGCCTCACAGCATCTCCATGTGCTAGTTATGATTACAGATGTGGACTCGAGGACCAGAGATACTAAGTGTCTCAGCCAAGCTAATTCATTGAGGAGAGTTACAGTGCAAGTCTGATTCTCACTGGCATGCCATCTCTGATGTTTGCATCCCTGAGCATACAAAGACAGAAGTAGAAAGCTTGACAGGGGCAGAGACTAAAGGTAGCCTCTTTTTCCCCAGGCTAGAGGGTCCAGGCCCAGCTGTGTTATACCAGGAGGTAGATGAGGCCATCCACCAACTCGTGCGTCTCTCCAACCTACGTGTGCAGCGGCAGGAACAACGCCAACGCCTGCACCAACTCCAACAGGTGAGGAGATTCCCCCCATCCTTTCAGGCTGGGAGTCTAGCCCCTGATTAGCAGCATCTCTGCTGATACTAAGAGAGGATGGCATCCTTCCAGCTTCCCTGGTTTCTCCCCTAGAGGTTTGTCATAGAAGTGTGAGATTCAGCATGAGGGCAGGAACATCTCAGCACCAGCAGAAAGAAGCCTGGAGGTCAACCTTCTGCCTAACTTTGATCAGGATCATTAGATACTATGGGAAATGTTCATTACCCAAAGGGAACTCTGGAATCAGCTGGGTGGCTCAGGGTACAACCTCCTCAGTGTAAAGATAATAAATGTTTTGTTTTTGTTTGGGAGTTTTCTGAGACGGGATGTGTTATAGCCCAGGTTGGCCTGGAACTCACTATGTATCTGGCGCTGGCCTTGAAACTCCTAGTGCTCCTGCCTTCAGTTCCAGGCCTAACCGTGAATAATAAATATCTATTGATAAATTTCTATTGATAGAGCTCTTTGGCTCCACACTTCTTATGCATTATCATCCTCGGAAATGGAGGCAAAAAGGCTCGGTCTCCTCCTACATTGCCAGTCACTGAGAGGAACCACGGGCCTCTTAAGGTTCAAGAAGCAGACTGGCCTCTCTGCACCTTGATTGTCTCTTCTGAACTTCAGCCCTGTGGGAGATTGTCTACTCACTGTTAAGGGAAGGGGGACTTTAGAATCTGGTTGTTTTTCCTTAGCCCCTGCTGTTGTGAATGTATACCTCACAGACTGCATGTGGGTATGAGAAGGGTCATCCCAAAGTCAGTGCCAAAGAGGAGCCAGGGCTTTGTGTTCTGGGGCTGCCAGTTGGCTTCTGCTGTTCCATCCAAGGGGCGTCTCCTACTGAATAGATATCCCTGCCGGCTTAAAAAACGATTTTAAAAACAGAATTTGGAGGTTAAAGTGCTTAGCTTTGAGATCTAGCTCTGCTGGGTATTAGATGTTGCTGCTGAGTTACCCATTCCTATGCAAATAGTACGACACACAGGTGGGTAGGATGGGAAGTGAAGTCAGCAGAGGACTCTAAAAGTGGCTATTGTTGGCACTGCCTTGTAGGAACATTCTGAGACTTCTCATTTTCCAGCTGCTCCACCCAAGCTTCCAGACTTTTTTCAGAGGAAAAAATTAGTCAAACATTTCAGAACAAGTAGGATATTCCCTACAGTAGGAAACTTGAACTGGATATCCAATCACACAAACACCATCTCCTGGGCCATCCTTTAGGCCTGGTGCCTAAGTTTCCTGCTCACCACTCGGCAGGGCTCATCGGATATGGAATTTCTCTCAGTCCTGTTATCCATGTTACTTTCATCCTCCTTTCTTTGGTTCATGTCAGTTTTATCTGTTTCCTCATCCTGGCCTGGCCCTGGCACAGTAGCCTGTGTCTCCTGCCAGCTCTGTCCATACGGCACTTTACCAGAGATGGAATAATACCCAGTTTCTCATTTGACCCTGTGGGAACTGTTGTCAATCCCTCAGCACCAGTGAGACAAGATTGGATGACCAAGGTTCTCAACATTTGGGGTGATGGCAGCTGAGTGGATCTTATCCACTTCACAACCTCTCCTTTCCTCACAGCCTTTTACTCTGTCCCAGGTGTTACAGTGGCTCTCTGGCCCAGGGGAAGAGCAGCTGGCCAGCTTCGCCATGCCTGGGAACTCACTCTCAGTCTTGCAAGAGACAGAACTGCGATTCCGGGCTTTCAGCACTGAGGTGCAGGTAAGGACAGAGAGGAGATGGGGGCGGGGTCACTGGGAGAGGACCAGGTCTGAGCATAGACCCTTCTCCAGGAGCGCCTAGTCCAGGCCCGGGAAGCTTTGGCCCTGGAGGAGGACATGGCCTCCCAGAAAGTTCTGGATATCTTTGAGCAGCGACTGGAGCAGGTTGAGAGTGGCCTCCATCGGGCTCTGCGGCTCCAGCGCTTCTTCCAGCAGGTGGGTGCAGAGCATCCTGCTGAGCCCATATTCTGTCTTCAGCCTGGAGCAGTTACTTGATCAGGCAGTTGCTAAGAGTGGTACCTTAGAAATCCATCTCCTCGGCTTTAACTTTTAGCTTGCTCAGGCTGAATGACCTGAGACCTGAGATAGGTCCTTTGTAGACATTTGCACATCTGCTGTGAATGTTAGATGAGGCACTGTGTGGAAGCAATTAGTACAGCCTGACTCAGTGCTGTGTGTATAAGTACTAACTCCACTGCGCTCATGCCCTCTCCAAGTAACATGGTTATACTGTGATGCTGGGTCAGAGGAAGGACAGGTAGGTGATGACCCCCGGGGAGCCACTGGCCATGGGATACGTGTTTGGGAGTGGTATGTGTCCTCACCATTTTTCTCTGCCTCCAACCTGTTTGGCTTTTGTAGGCACACGAATGGGTAGATGAGGGCTCTGCTCGGCTGGCAGGAGCTGGGCCTGGTCGTGAAGCTGTGCTGGCAGCCCTAGCCCTACGGCGGGCCCCAGAGCCCAGTGCAGGCACTTTCCAGGAGATGCGAGCCCTGGCCCTGGACCTGGGCAGCCCAGCAGTCCTTCGAGAATGGGGCCGATGCCGAGCACGCTGCCAAGAGCTGGAAAGGAGGATTCAGCAGCAGCTGGGAGAGGAGGCCAGTCCTAGAGGCCACAGACGACGACGGGCAGACAGTGCCAGCAGCACAGGGGCCCAGCATGGAGCCCATAGCCCTTCGCCCAGCCTCAGCTCCCTGCTTCTTCCCAGCAGCCCTGGGCCACGGGCAGCCCCATCACATTGCTCTCTGACCCCATGTGGGGAGGACTATGAGGAGGAAGGCCTTGAGCTAGCTCCAGAAGCAGATGGAAGACCCCCACGGGCTGTGCTGATCCGAGGCCTGGAGGTTACCAGTACAGAAGTGGTAGACAGGACGTGTTCACCCCGAGAACATGTGTTGTTGGGTCGGGCTGGAGGACCAGATGGGCCCTGGGGAATAGGTACCCCTCGAATGGAGCGCAAACGAAGCATCAGGTGAGAGTTCAGACCAATCGTTGTCCAGGAGGCAATCGGGAAAGAACTGTTGGGGGTAGTGACTCTTTTCCATGCCAGAGTGACACCTCTGCTACTCTGCCGTACCTACAGTGCCCAGCAGCGTCTAGTGTCTGAACTGATTGCCTGTGAGCAAGAATACATAACCACTCTGAATGAGCCAGTGCCACCACCTGGGCCCGAGCTGACTCCTGAGCTTCGGTGTACCTGGGCTGCAGCCCTGAGTGCCAGAGAGAGACTTCGCAGCTTCCACGGGACACACTTTCTACAAGAGCTTCAGGGCTGCACCACCCATCCTCTGCGCATTGGGGCATGCTTCCTTCGCCATGTAAGCAATCGCTAAACTTCCAAACCTGCTCCCTTCCTGTGTTCTGCCCTATCCATCACCCCCCACACACACACACACTTCTCTGCCTCCTACCCCTCTCCCTCTTGTGGTCCCTCAACTTGGCCCAGGTGAACTTCACTGTCTCTTCAAAAAGCCTTTATAATCCCTGGCAAGTGGAATGCTGGAATGCTGCCTGCTTATCCCCCCCCCCACACACACACACGTGGACAGTGAGGATGGGAGAAGAAATGTGTCCACAGGTTCCTCACCAGGGACACTTACTGCCTCTTCCTTACTGGCACAGGGGGACCAGTTCAACCTCTATGCACAGTTGGTGAAGCACAGACACAAACTGGAGAGTGGTCTGGCTGCCCTCACCTCCTCGGCCAAGGTAAACTTTTCTTCAGCTCTCAGAAAAGTGGGTGGATGAGATGGCCTAGCAGATAAGGATGCTTGCCTCTAAGACTGTCAGCTGAGTTCCATCCCAGAAACAATATGGTACAATGAAAGACCTGACTCCTGCAAATTAGGTGTTTTCTGACTGACTGGGGTGGGGGGTGGGGGGGGTGTGAATACACACCCCCACACCCCCACACACACAGAATAAGAAAATGTTTTTTTTTAAGAGAAAGGACCAGGAAGACCTAAAAACTCACCCCACCTTGAACTCTCAGAGAAAACAGTCTTTCATGGATGTACCTGGGAACATTCACCGAAAATCTCCAGTAGCCTCTCTGGCTGCCATCAGAATCTGGGAATCAGGAGGGTCTCCTAGCATTACAATGAGAGCCAGAGGAGGCTGGGCTCTTACCCAGATCTCCACACAAGGGAATCGGGGTAAAACTCTGATTCCTTGGGCCTCTGTTTTGTTTTTGTCTTTACTTAGTTTTGTTAGGATTTATTTATTTTTGTTTTATATGTGCGACGGTCTGCAGGTATGTATGTGTATTGCACTGTGCCTAGTGTACAAGGAGGCCAGAGGAGGACTATCAGATCACCTGAAACTGGAGTTAAAGACACTTGTGAGACACTGTGTGGGTGCTGGGAACTGAACCCAGGTCCTCTGCAGGAGCAGTAAGTGCTTTTAACTGACCAGCCATCTCTTCAGCCCCTAAGCCTGTTTCTACATATGGTAAACAAGGGCAGTATGAACTTCGTCCAGCTCCCTGGGAGCTTGAGAGCCAAAGGATTTCACGTGAAAAGATGTGAAAGTGACTATAAAAGCCAGAGGGAGCTGGGCATTGGTAGCACACGCCTTTAATCTCAGCACTCAGAAGACAGAGGCAGGCAGATCTCTGTGAGTTTGAGGCCAGCCTGGTCTCCAGAGAGAGTGCCAGGATAGACTCCAAAGCTACACAGAGAAACCCTGTCTCGAAAAACCAATTAAATAAATAAATAAATAAATAAATAAATAAATAAATAAAGCCAGAGAGCATTAGCTGTTATTACCTAGCTCCCTCTTCAGCCCAGGATGGCTGCATCTCCTAGGGGTCCCTGCCTCTGTGTGTGTGTGGTGTGTGTGTGTGTGTGTGTGTGTGCCAAGCCTTTAAGGACAATTCACAGGAGCTGGTTCCCTCTTTCCACCACCTGGGTCTCATGGATGGAACTTGATTCCCAGGCTTGGTGACAAGTTATGTTAGCTTCTGGACCATCTCTTTGACCTTTGCATTTTTTCCCTTTAAAAAAATTTAAATTTACTAATAATAAAAACAAACATTAATAATAAAAAGCTAACACACACACACACACACACACACATATTCATGCACACTGGTGTCCCTGTGGCGGTCAGAGGAGAAACACCATTGAGTCAATTCTTTCTGCCATGTGGGTTGCAGGGATTGAACTCAGGTCATCAGGATTAGTGGAAAATCACCTCTACCCACTGAGCCATCTTGCAGGCCCCTTTCTTTCCCTTTAAGAGTACCTGGTCTTCCTCTGTTCCCCAAAGCCTGTACCCAACCTATGACATTCCTGTCCTCAGATTTTGGCCCCTACCAGCCCTAGCCCTCTTCTCATCCCAGGCTATGGTTCCACCCTAGGGTTCCATGGAGAGCAGCCCTTGCCTGCCCCGAGCCCTGCAACAGCCCCTGGAGCAGCTGGCTCGGTATGGACAGTTCCTGGAGGAGCTCCTGAGGGAAGCTGGGCCTGAGCTAAGCTCTGAGCGCCAGGCCCTCAGGGCTGCTGTACAGTTGCTCCAGGAACAAGAGGCCCGAGGCAGGGATTTGCTCGCAGTGGAAGCTGTGCGAGGCTGTGAGGTAAGGTCCTGGCTTCCACTGACTCTTGCTCAAACTGTGTAACTCTGTGGCCTTAGAAACAGTGTAGGCTGGTGACCATAAAACTAGACCTGAAGTCTGAGGGCTCTAGACTCTGTCTAGCCCTTAGTTGCCTCATCTAAATCCAGCATCCTGTGTTCTTCCCATGTCTGCCTTGTGCTTGTCTGTTTCTTTCCTAATTCTTCCATTTCTGCTTCTTCCTTTCTAGCCTACTGTATTTTCCTCAACCTAATCTCTTCCTGACACTGATTCCAGATAAGGCTGGAATTGTACTCTCTCAAGATCAGTGGTTCTCAACCTGTGGGTCGAGACCCTTACCCTTTTATGGGGTTGCCTAAGACCATCAGAAAACACAGACATTGGGGGCTGGAGAGATGGCTCAGAGGTTAAGAACACTAACTACTCTTCCAGAGGTCCTGAGTTCAATTCCCAGCAACCACATGGTGGCTCACAACCATCTGTAATGAGATATGGTGCCCTCTTCTGCTGTGTAGGCATACATGGAGTCAGAATATTGTAAACAAACAAATAAATAAATAAATCTTTTTTAAAAATTTAGAAAACACAGATATTTACATTATGATTCATAACAATAGCAAAATTACAGCTATAAAGTAGCAATGGAAATAATTTTATGGTTGGGGGTCACCACATCATGAGGAACTGCATACAAGTGTCTTGGCATTAGGAAGGTTGAGAATCACTGGTCTAGATGGACCTAACCACGTTCTTTGCTGGTTCTCTTTCTGCATCTCCAGTATGCAAAGACTTCACCGTGGCAGGCTGAGTACCAACTACACAGTGCATCTTTCATCTTTAAGGAATGACCACTGCTAGACAGTTGTGCATGAGAAGCAGTGGATAGGGTTAGGGTGAGGCCCTCCCTGACTTCCAGAGCCTACCAACAGCCAGTACATTGGGTCCCTTTCCCTCTCAATCTCATACATTCCATAACTTCACAAAGGCCCCCTGGACCAGCTTTCCTTTCTCCTCTCTCCAGATAGATTTGAAGGAACAGGGACAGCTCTTGCATCGGGACCCATTCACTGTCATCTGTGGGCGGAAAAAGTGCCTCCGCCATGTCTTTCTGTTTGAGGACCTGCTCTTGTTCAGCAAGTTCAAGGGCTTTGAGGGAGGATCTGAGACCTTCGTTTACAAGCAGGCTTTCAAGGTATACGGCATGGTGTGGGGATATTGTGCCATGTATGACATGAGAACTCAGTATGTTCTGGAAGTTCAGCCTCATCACCTAAAATAGGTTTTGGCCTCTAATTGGTCATCAATTTTAGGGTATCGGAAAGTGAAAGAAATCCCTGTCCTTGGTCAACTCCTTTGGGTTTTCCATATAATTCATGCAGAACACTTGAGGCATTTCAAGACAAAATGGGAAATGACCTTCCCAATGAGAACACACATGCCTGCTGGACAGTAGGGGCTCACACCTTTAATCCCAGCACTCATGAGGCAGAGGTAGGGGGATCTCTGAGTTCCAGGCCAGCCTGGTCTACAAAGCCAGCCCCTCAGGACAGCCAGGGCTACGCAGAGAAACCCTGTCTAGGAAAAAAAAAAGCAAAAACCAAAAAACCCACCCGTCTTTTGAGTTAGAGGTGGTCCCATGTATATAAGGAGAAAGGACACCACACACACACACACACACACACACACACACACACACACACACACCTTAACTTCACTGAACTAAATAGAACTTGCTTTGGGCATCTAACCAGAAACAAACCCACAATCCTGGATCAGGTAGAATGATAGGGAAGGTTTCCAAACTGTCCTAGTGTTAATTCCAACTCTGCAGAGGTAGAACAGAGGGAGGGGTCTGCGTTTGGAATAGACATGGGTTTGAGTCCATACTAAAACTCTGGTACGCTCTTGAGAAAGCTGCTTCTCAGAGAGCCTCCTTTTCCCTCTGTAAATCAGGGCTGTTGTGCAGACTGTGTAGAGCACCTGGTATCTGACAGATGCCGAACATCTACCAAGCTAAACAGTGCTTGCCAGTGTGGTGCCACCTAACGAGGACACCTCTATCTTCAACCCTCTCTCTTGTGCCATTCCTCAGACTGCTGACATGGGGCTGACAGAAAACATCGGGGACAGTGGACTCTGTTTCGAGCTTTGGTTCCGGCGGCGGCGCGCACGAGAAGCATACACTTTGCAAGCTATCTCACCAGAGACCAAACTAAAGTGGACAAGTTCTATCGCCCAGCTGCTATGGAGACAGGCAGCCCACAACAAGGGTAATGGGCAGATCATAGAGGGGTTGGTGCTTGGGTTGGGTTACAGGAGGTTTGCTGGAGAGTATGGAGATGGAAGGAAAGATGCCTTAAGAGACAATTCAAGGTCTGGTTCAAGAGATATAGCTGAGACAGAATTAGCCAGAAGGAAAGAGAAAGCTCCAAGGTCTGCGCAAAAGAGTTGCAAAACTGCTTACTGGATTGGGCTTTAGGAGGACTGGTGCCACTTACCTGCTGTGTGACCTGACTAATAGCTTTTCTTTGTTGTTAGTTGGTACTGGGTTTTGATTTGTTTTGTTGTTGTTGTTGTTGTAATTCTCTGAATCATTCTATTAATCTGAAAAAGGCACAGCACTTTCTTCATCTGTGTGATAGGGAGGCTGGAGTAGGTCAATACATACAGAAGCACTTTATAAACCACACAGATGTGCAAAAGCATGACTATTGCTCTTAATGTCCATGACAGAGGGAAACTGAGTGTTACATGAAGTCACTGGCCAGGAAGATAGCTCACTGGGTAAAAGTGTTTGTCACGCAAGTGTGAAGACCTGAGTTCAAATCCCCAGAACCCACATAAAAGCCAGCAGTACTGTAGAAGTAGAAAAAGTAACAGGAACATCTGTAATCTCATCACTGCTACAGAGCACATGGGAGGTGAAGACAGGAATTTCCCCTAGAAGCTTGCTAGACAGCCAGCCTGGCACATGCACACCAAAATGACCAAGAGGTCAGCCATAAAACAAGGTGGAAAGTGAAGATCAACCAACACCTAATGTGTTCTCTAACCTCCAAATGTCCATGCCTACCTTCACACACATCAGTTACACACACTAATCAGGTGGTTAGGAGGCCAAAGCAGGATGAAATATATAGCAGAGAACTGATGCATGTCTGAAGAGGTCAAATATCACCCTCACAATCCATGCCATGACAGTCAAGGAAGGGGAAATGCCATAAGAAGGGAGGCGTGATTAAGAGTTGGGAAAGAGAATCAACAGGGATGTGCTAACACTGAGGCAGGAGGGCCAAGAGAAGGTTGCAAACAGGGTCTCTGTTCCCTAGAGCTCCGAGTGCAGCAGATGGTTTCCATGGGCATTGGCAATAAACCTTTCCTGGACATTAAAGCCCTGGGGGAACGGACACTGAGTGCCCTGCTCACTGGAAGAGGTGAGGTCCAGGGTGCTGGGGGGGTGCTCCCAGAAGTCAGGCCTTGACTAATGATATAAAAACAATGGGGAGATGTCAGGAAGGATACTGAGTGCTGACTGGGCATCTCTTCCCAAAATGGGGACTCCCTGGGAAGCCCTTTGTGAGCTATTCCAGGGAGCCAGGAGGACTTCTCCACACCAGCACCCCACCACCCCAACTCCCCACTCTCTGCAGCCGCCCGCACCCGGGCCTCCGTAGCCGTGTCATCTTTTGAGCATGCTGGCCCGTCCCTTCCCGGCCTCTCACCGGGAGCCTGCTCCCTGCCTGCCCGCGTCGAGGAGGAGGCCTGGGATCTGGACGTCAAGCAGATTTCCCTGGGTGAGGCACCTCTCAAGGGGTGGCCCCCAACCGCTGGGTCATGGTGATGTTCAGGCTGCCTATTGCTGAGCAATTCCTGTTTCTAGCCAAGTAGCCCAGTTGCCATGACAACTACATACAGCTTCCCCATTGCTAAAAGAGCCTTCCATCTGGTTGCTAGGGAGATGCTTACAGCAGCCTTTTGCTAAGAAGCACTTATTCTGTACCTTTCTCTCTAGCTCTCCTTGAGTTTCTATGGAAACTGCCTCAGCTTCCTGTTGTACCCTCCTGGTTCACCACGGCAATTCTTAGTTTCCTGTCGCTTCTCCCTGGTTGCTCTAATGATGCTGCTGACAATTTCCTGCCTCTTGGTAGGGGGGTTCTCTTGCAACTGGATTGCTATGGTGACTCACAACTTCCTGTTGCTATGGAGCTTCTTCTTCCCTGCCGGAGGAGCTTGGTTATTTAAGGTAATCTGGAAGAGTTTTATACCTTAGTCTCACCCTAGCTTCCCCTCCAGCCTCAGAAACACTTGACTCTTCGGGAGATGTGTCCCCAGGACCAAGAAACAGCCCCAGCCTGCAGCCCCCGCACCATGGGAGCAGCACTCCCACCCTGGCCAGTGGAGGGATCTTAGGGCTCTCCCGACAGGTAAGTCACTGCAATAAGGCTGGGAGCAGGTGGTCTCTTTCTGGGTAGGCTTTTCTGATCATTTGACAAACTGGGGAGTAGAGGAACTAATTATTACAACTCTCAGCTGATGCCACAGATTGGATTTATTATCCAGTCTGCCTTTCTCCTCTCCCCTAGGCCTGGCTGAGAAGCATCAAGGTCAGAGGTAAAAAAAAAGCCTTAAGAAGCAGGGAGAGACATGCCCAATAGAGAACATGTCTAAACACACTGCAATTTCTGTGTCCTCAGAGTCATTCCCGAGCCCTGAGTGACCCCACCACGCCTCTGTGACCTGGTAAGTCAGCACCCCGTCCCCCCACATCCAGCATGCCTTCCCCTATTTTGAGGACCTTCTTTCCTGACCTCAGATGCATGCGAGTCAGCTTCTTGCCTCTCCCAACCCATCTCCCTCTTCTCTCCTGGCTTCCAGAGAAGATCCAGAACTTGGCTGCAGCCCCTTGCCAGCACTTTTAGGCTGGTAAGCCAATGGGACATAATGGAGGACTAAGCTCTCAATTTCCTCCCTCTACTTCCTGGACAGAGAGGAGGGCAAGGACCAGAGAGCGTCCCCTGTCACTGCTATCTCTAGCTCTCCCCTGCTTGGTGCCTTCTGCTGCAGGAACCAGAGTGGCCCTGTGTGCTTGCCTTTATGCCCTGGGGGCAGGGACCCATCCCTCCTCCAGTCCCCCCCCCATCCTGTGCTGCTGCACAACCACAGGACGCTCACTGCTGACAGCCTGCTTCTCTTCCCATCCCCTGACTCTCCTGGAAGATTCATCTCTGCCAGGTCGGATGGAATTCCATTCCGGGGTATCATGGGACATGACGTGTTCTAAGCCATTGAAGGAGATGGGGTGGGCGTTGCAGACTTTATATATGTAATTACTGTTGTTATACTATTGTTATATTAAATGTATTTACTCTCACTGTGCCTCCCAAGGGCCAGAGCAGGCCTCTGGATTAAGGTGTCTGAACGAACTTGAATACTTCCCTACAACCACTAACTAGGACTCAGAAAATAAAACCAAGGCCAGAAAGTAGCTGTTCTACCCTTTCCTGGCCCAAAACTGATAGTGTATGAATGTGGGAGGAGGTGCCTCCCCCTCAGAGGCTCTAAGCTCAACGAACTCTTTGAAGTTCCTTCTCCATTTTGCAGCCACTTCTTAAGGCTGAGATGGTCAGACGGGTCCAGCATAAGGCAGCAGTTGTCTAGTGAGGTCCTCGGGCTGGGGGGCAAAAGAACCCCTTAGGCTACTTGTTTGAATGCTAATTCTTAGGGCCCACTCAGAGTTACCTATGAATCTGAAGTCTGGAGGTAAAGCAAAGTTTTGCATTCTTATCAAGCTCATTGTGACCAAGTGCCTAGGGAGACCAAAACACAGGCAGACACACAGGGCCTTGTGCCTCAAGACACCTGTTTATTGGGGACATGACTCTTCAACAGGGATGACAGGAATCGTACCAAAAATAGCAACGTCTACAGGGCCCCTGATAGGGCTAGAAGGGTACAGTGCCCCCCACCCCCACCCCTTATACAAAAATAAACTCTCATGCCTATGGACCAGCAGAAACTGGCAGAGTGGCTCCTCAACGGGAACACATCCTCTACCAGCCCTAGGACCCCGTTCTTTGACCCTCACCTCTGCCACTTCTAAGGCACTGTGACTCCCCTGGGCTGGGTGGGTACTGCTTGCCCCACCCTCCTTCACCCACTGTCCACTTTACCTCTTGGTCCACCTTGGGCTGGGATACGGGTCCCACACTGCTCCCTGCTGGCTGCTCTACCCAACTACCTCTAGCACTTCCCCGCTCCTGCGGGGTAAGCTTACTAAGCTAATCACTCCTAAGGGGGCTCCCTACCGTTCTTGCCCCCCAAGACCGGCCTCTCCAGATCTAGACAGCCCGGGGCTGCCCTCCTCTTCTAGTGGAGGGCTGGGAGGCGTTTCTCCTGATGGTGCTCGGACATAGGGTGGAGATGTATCAGCCCGGGGCTGCCGGCGGCCCCGAGCCCGACGGCTGTGGTGTACTTGCAGATGCAAGGCCATGAGCTCAGGAGCTCCGGTGGCAAAGGGGCAGAAGAGGCAGCGGTGAAGGGCACCCCCTGACCCGGCTTCACCTCCCGGGCCTGCCCGTAGGGACAGGTCCAGGGGTTCGGCCTCACCACCTCTCCCGTTGCGCAGGGTCCTCCCAGGGCTGGCAGGCTTCCTACGGGACCCTGCTCCGGTGCCGCTCGAAGAAGGCCGGGTACTTGCAGTGCCCTCCACCCAGGTGGCAGAGGCCTGAGTTGGCTTAGCTCCTGACTGCGGCTGCAGTGAGGCTGCGCCCCGCGGGGAAGGGGGCGGGGGTTCTGGAGGAGGCCCAGGACCTGCACTGCTCCTCTGCTCTCGGTGGTGACGCTGAAGGTGATACTTGAGTGAGCCAGACTGGGTACCTGCATAGTCGCAGTGTGGACATTTGTAGGGACGCTCACCTAGGAAGAGTGGGTTAACATAGGTCATGGGGGTCACTATCACTGCGCGCGCGCACTGGCATTTTGCTCAATTTGCAAACTTCATCCCAAGGCCCAGGAGCAAATGCTGATTCCCCAATAAGTGATTTATATGAATCTGAAAGCTGGCCAATCCGAAAGCTGCCCAGCATGCCCTCCTGCCTTCTGGTTGCTCTCACCTTTCTTCTAGCCCCCCTCCCCCACGAAGAATACTTCCTCACCTGTATGTACTCGAAGATGCACTTTCAGGTGATGTGCCGAGCGGAACGATTTTCCACAGAAGGGGCAGTCCTTGCCAGTGGCCCCACGGCCCGCTTCGGATCGGGCCCCTCCAACCAGCAGCCCATTTTCTTCTGGAACACGTTAAAAGGAAGTTATAGGGTCTCACTGTCTTGTCCTGGCCAGGTACCCATTATACCCATCATCTCTCCGGGCTCAAGAGGAAAGAGGTTTGGGGGAACATAGATTTATTTGTTAAAGAAATAACACCCTTAAGAAGCCACAAGGCTTCCCAGTAGGAAAAAGAAAAGCCCAGAAGACATCCTAGACAGGTCTTTTAAAAAGGAAACTGCAGGAGTGGTGGCCCAAGTGTTGCAAATCAAATGCAGGCAACCCAGAGAGAAAAACAGTGCAGACATACCTTGGGTGCCTGTAGGTCTTGCCTGGGCCCCTACGGCAGGTGCAGATTGTCCTGACCCCTCACCGGGGTGGGGGTGCAGGGAAGTCAGAGTGCCCAGCGACCTGCCCCGGGCCCAGCTCTCCTCTTCCGCCTCCACCACCTCTTCTTCCTCCTCTGGTTCCTCTGTACGGTGTCGCCTGGCCCGATTGGGAAGAGCTGAAGGCAGCGGGCGGAATCCTCCTCCATAGCTTCGTCCAGCTCCAGGGTCGGCACCCTCACCATTGGGTCGTACTTCCCCAGCTCTTACACTCAGGTAGCCTAAGAGGCTCGGGGGCTCTCGGCGCTCAGCTGGGGTGGGTGCTGGGGCCAGTAGGAGTGCAGGGCCCAGTGGCTCATAAGCCAGCAGGCTCATGTCAGGAGGCTGAGGGGCCCTGGCAGGGGTAGAGCCAGGCCCCGGGGCACGCAAAGGACCCAGCTTGCTGGTGTGCACCTTCATGTGGTTCTTAAGGAACCAGGGCTCCTTGAAGCAGCGACCACACACGGGGCATGCATGATCAAAAGAAGCCTTGTGCTTGCGCATGTGACCCTTGAGAAACCAGGACTGTGTAAAGCTCTGGCCACACACCTGGCAACGGAACTCAGGTGGCGCAGGGGGTTCCTCCGGGGGTGCAGGAGTCGGGGCAGGGTTCGCCTCATGTTCAGGCTCAGGCCTAGGTTCAGGTTCTGGCTCAGGCTCAAGGGCAGATCTGGGTTCTGGCTGGGGTGGAGGCTGGGGTTCGGGCGTCGAAGTAGCCGCCAGAGGGCGCTCGGAGGCCCCGTGGGCCGTCAGACTGTGGTGCAGCAGCTCCTCCTCCTGGCTGGAGCCAAAACTGCACAAGCTGCACTTCCAGGGCCTGTGCAGGATATGCAGGTGGCGTTCCCTCTCCGCTGAGGTGCGAAACTTGCCTTTGCAGAAAGGGCAAGGGAAGGCAGACGAGGAAGGAACCTGAGGGCGCGCCAGGCCCTCTGTGGCTGGGGTGGCCTGCATGCCCCCTGAGCTTCTGGCTCTTCCCAGTTGGGCTTCACGTAGCAGGGCGCGTTCCTCCAACTCCAGCAACAGGCGTGCAGCAGGGCTTCGTGGACGCTCGGGCTGGTGTGTTCGGAGATGTGAGCGCAGCAGAGCCCGCTGCGCTGCACGATGGCCACAATGTGGGCACTGGAAGGCTTGGGCGCCGGGGTGGGCTCGCAGGTGCAAAGCCAGGATGGAATTGAATCGGAAGCGCTTTCCGCACACAGGACAGGGGAAGCGCCGTTCGCCTGCACGAGTCTCAGACCAGCCCACTGCTCCCATTCCAGGCGACCCGGTGCTCACACCTGGTCCGTTGGAGTAGTGCTGCAGATCCAGCTCGCCGTCGAAGGCTGGTGGGGAAGGCTCTAGGTGGCCGACCAAGATGCGGGGACGTGAGCCCTGTAGGGAAAGATGCACGTAGAGGAGAGGGTGGAAAGGGCCTTTCTATGGAAAATGCAAAGGTATCGAGGGCACGAAGAACGGAAAACGAGAGTGTGTAATAGGCTGGGGCCTGACCTGGGTACACTGGTGCCTCTCACCTCCAGAAGTTGTGGGATAGACGGAAGTTAGATACTGGGGCCAAGTTAATAACATATATTACTATAATAAGAAGTAAAAACGTAGACAGGAGAGGGAGTACCGTTGAAGGTACTTGCAGGTCAAGGACAGAGCTTCACTCACCTCCATGGACCCCCTTCACATTCTTTGGTTCTGAGGATTGGAAGGAGGAGGAAGGAAAGCTGCTAATGAAGGCAACAGGTGCGGAGGTGCTAAAACAAGACAGATTGATTGGAGGAAAGATGAGCCCTGGCTTTCAGCAGTCAAGTCACCCCACTTTGCAGCCTGTATTCTTAAAACCCATCCCTTCTCCCTACTTGGATCTTGAGGTCTCGCATGCTTCCTATTTGCTGTCCTCAAAACTTGCACCCCTTTATCAGCCAATTTGTATGACAAACCCAGAATTCCTCCCCCAAATGATGTTTTAAACACCTAGTCCAGAAACACCATCACCGCGCGCGCGCGCGTGCGCGCGCGCGCGCACACACACACACACACACACACACACACAATCACAATGTGGGAGGCCATTATAGTATACCCCTCTTCCACTTGCATTGGGCTGTGCCACTGGATAAACAAATGTGGAGGGCTAGCCATACTCCTGTTATCCAAGTGGTACCAGCTCCTCTCAGACCCCGGGCCAGCCAGCCAAAATCCCTCCAGGTTCCTCCTCCTCGCTTTTGCCGGCACCCAGTCTTCTGGTCTTTCCTCTTCCCCCTCCCCCTTCCTGGATTCCTGATCCATTCATTTCCATTCATTACAGAGACTCATTCATGCATGGGAGAGAAACACCTCCCAGCAGCAGAGTCTGGAGACGGAGGGGGAGGGGCGTGAAGGGAGAGCCAGCTACAGAGGGAATGAAGAGAGTTGGGGGAGGCGTGGAAGTTAAGGGGCACTACCAGCCTAGGGAAGGGGTTAAAAACTGCAGATCCCATTTAGGTTTCACCCCGTTTCAAACCTTGGAGCCAGTGGTTTGATGGGGCATCTCAGCCCCTTTGTCCAGAGCTGTTCCGAGGCAGGCTTTCCTCCTCTCTGCAGGGGAGAGGCTTCCTCACACAAGAGGAGGATTACACTGGCTCTGAGCTCAAGAGGCTGGAGTGAGGGACGGGGGGCGGGGCCTTGCCATCTGCACAGATAGGGGGATCCACACATGCTCTGAGCAGGAAGGGGTTAAAATTCTCCATCTAAAATTCCCTATCCCTGACAAGTGCTGCACAGGGCAGGGAGGAGGAGAGTTGAGGGAGAGGATGGTAAGGGGCGGGTCTCCTGACAAGGTCATGGAATTAGACTTCAGTGGATGGCCAGAAGTCATCCTCTCTGCCTTCTTCCCTCCACACAGAACTGTATCTTGTTCAGGCTAGATGAACTTGGGCCTAGCTTTTTTTTAACCTCAGACATAATATTTGATAAAGGACTTCCTTACAATGAGACTTATGAAACTGAATTACTAAGAAAGAAAAGGACTCAAGCATTACTTTACTTACAAATCTTTAATTGAAGTGAACTGGGCCAGGAGTGAGCCCCGCTTATCAGCAGTGATTTAAAGCGTCTTTAATTTTCAACATCGAATGGATGTGGCAAGACTCTATGAAGGGGCAAACACCTGTTACACGCAGACTCTGACCTTTGAGAGCATTGTCAGATACATTAACAAAATGTCCTGCTCAAGTGTCACTGGACAGCCACTGATACTTAATATGTGTGTTTCTGTGGGTCCAAATTCAGGCACCCATTCTTGTCCTATGGATCCTCCACATAAATTGGGACCAACAGTCTGACCGGGCTCACTGAAAACTGCATAAAGGTGAATTAGAATAGAACTAAGGGGTACAAGGCCATTGTAAGCCTATGTCTTACATCCCTGAGTAAATCACTGAATCTCTCAGTTTGCCATCTCTGAAAATGAGTTATAATAAATTTACAGTTAAAGTCCCTGCCAACTTGAAAGTTGCCTGGTTTTAAGTCACAAGACTCTTCTGGACCCCAAGAGATGTTAAAACAAATGGTCATTCCTTCAGTACCATGGAGAGTGCAGTGGGCTACTAGAGCCACCACTTTGGCTACCTCAGTATCACAGATAGAGCTAGGAAGTGCTAGAGAGGCCACATTGGCCATTTTAGCACCAAAGAGAGGACATGGAAACTAGCGGATGAGGAAAAAAATCCTATTTGGGAACTATGGGGGCGTATCAGAGAAACTATGGAGGGGAGGATACTTTGGCCTTTTGGACGTCATTGAAAATAGAATAGAAAATACACATACCTAGAAAAATTTTAATTAGCTATACAGAATGTCATAACAGTTACAGTTTGTACATCCTGGAATGAGTTACTGAGGCATCGTATTTGAGTCCATCACATTCTGTTGCTTTCCTGGGGATTCCCGGAACATCCTGGTGTACAGCCAATCTGGTATATTCAGAGGAAGCAGATGGCCAGGAGGGGGGTGTGTGTGAGAGAGAATACTGCATGGTCATAGCTGACTAACCTATGGGCACATATTCTGATCCTGAGGAGATTCTAGGGCCTCTAAAATTGCTTGGTAAAACACCACGCAAAATGTCTCAAAGGAAAATGGCCTAATATCTGAGGCAAAAAAGGAGCAGAAACACAGCAAGGCTTCCTCCCCCGAACAACAACAGATCCCACACTTTTTGCATGTAGCAGTTTCCAGGATGGAAAGCTGTGATACCTAAGAAGGCAAAAATGTAATCTGAATTTCTCCTCAGGGGAAGCTTCCCAGAAGGTGGCCTAAAATCAGTAAAATCCACCGGGGACCTCCTAGGCCCAGTCAAGATGGCTTCCGTCATCTTTCCATCAAACCAGGTCTCAGGCACAAGAGCTCATAAATCACTCTCAATAAGGGAGAGCACCAACAGAGTGTCTGTGACCTGGTTTGGAACCTAAGTCAGACATGTATTGTCTGTGGACAATCCTCACATTTTTCTATACTCAAGGCTTAAACACCACCCCTGAGCCTTGGCCAGAGAGTAGCACTGACCTACTTTCCACGCCCAGTGGGAATCAGGGGTTATCTTGCTCCTGTTTGTATTTCTGCAGAGATGCAGGACCAGTGTTACAAATTAGGAATATTTCCAAAGCAACAGGCCAATTACTTTTGCATGCTAGGAGAGCTGATGCACAAGGCGTGTGGACCACCAAATCGTATGGAGGATGAACGGATGGTGAAAAGACAAAAAAAAAAAAAATCAGCTAAATGAAGGACCGAGAAGATTCTCCCACCCCCACCCCCACCCCAAATCTTGTGATTCGAAATATTTTAAGGTCAAGTGTTCAATAGCAAAGAATCAGGGTCTCTGGGGCCTAGCTGTAAGTAGGCCTCTGCCTCTGGTCATCCCCAACACATGATTTTTTTTTTTCCTTTTTGGCAATCTCCCCTCTCCTAAACCAGCTAATGAATATGAACCACTTCGACAGATGAAATTAAATGGGCAGGGAGTTTATTACACAGTCCAGAGTCAAGACCACCCGGAGAATGCATACATGCCAACAGCTCACTTTTAAGGTCTCTACATGGCTCTGTGAACCTCACTGCTCTGAAAGCTGCTTCAAATCCACACTACACTGAACCTTGACACCTTTTAGAGTGAGATAGGGGGGCATGAAATTTCAGTCATGGGCTCCCAAATAACTATCGAGAGGTTAGTGGGCGGTACAACCCCCACACACAATCTTATCCTAGACCCATGTTCTAGCATGTCCTAACTTGACCCCAATTCTGAAAGTTCTGAGGAGCCTGGATGGGGGACGGGAAGGGGGGGGGGTGCGCACATATATACAGCCTTAAGTCCCTTTAACTAGAGCTGGCCCTAAAAAAGTCAGTGTTGGTGCCTGTAGGAGCCTCGGTTCTCAGGCTGGGAGGTGGGTAGGAACCCCTCTGGCAAAATAGACCTCAAAAAAAATGGTAGGCAAGCAGAGCAGGA